GGGCGAGCAACACTAGTAGCGGTCGCGTAGCGCCCGCGCCACTTCCTAGCGCGGGCGCGCGCTGAGCTGGCCTAATCCCCTGATACCCATTTTGGAGCGGGCGCGCTTAATCTGGAGCGGCCGCGCCACCACCTAGAGCGCGGGCGCGCCGTTGTTCAGCGCGGGCGCGCCTATCTGCTGCGATCTGTAACCTAAAATCTGATTAAAACAACAAGGAGGAGAGAGAGAGAGAAGGGGGCAGACGTTAGAATAGTTTTCAGCAAAAAAAAAACTCTCTCTTAGTTAGCACCCTAGTTCATTAAATTAGTTGATTTAGTTTTAGAAACTCTCAAATCTAATCATTGTAGAAGCAAATTTCAAGATTCATTTTAAGATTTTTCAACATTTTGAAGCTTCAATAGTAACTTCTTTCACTTGTCTTTCATTATTTTCGGATTTTTTTTTTATACTATAAGTCACTTGAGTCTTTCTCAATCTTGATATATTGTTGTTGCATGTTAGCTTTATCCACAGTGAATCACTTTTCCCCAATTTTAGAATTACTTATAATCCAAATGGAATTTTGCATGTTACTCACAATGAATTGTGAGTAGTCCTCTTGGCTAGGGGTTGGGTGAAACTCAACCTAATGGTGATTATGTGAGTTTAGGAGTGATTTTGATGATGGATCGCGATTAAATTGGATTATATGGGATTGCTTGTTAGTTCTTCATGATAGGAGTAATTAACCTAGATTATTGAACTTGATGGCATGAAATGTTTGGTTCGACATGGAAATGTGAGTTGAATGTTTCATTACCTATTGCAATGTGATTATGTATGTTTTGTTGCTAAGTTAATGAGGGATCTAATCTTAGTAATTTGAGTTGTTTTCATATCGTTTGATGTTGGTCTTGCATGTGGTCTTTTCTATTCCATTATCCCTATTCCTCCCTATTTGCCTAATTGCTATTGGTTGAGTGAATCCCATTCCCCTAGTGTTTTAATCCCTTGAGTTCAACCCTTAGTTGTAGTTTGTTAGTTAATCACCACTTATACCTTGATTTCGATTTAGCTTGAGCGTTAAGATTATTTAGCAATTGATTCCCGTTCTCCGTGGACCGAACCCTTGCTTGCCATTGTACTTGTTTGAGTGAGGTGTTTGTTATAAATGTGTTTGAATGAGCCTAGATTGTGCGACTGATTTAGCGCTTGTCAAAGGGATAAACTTAACAGTGCGAAACCCCTTAAAGAACAAATAATCAAGGAGAGCCACATCAAAACCACCGTTATGATCTCGCACCAAACCATCCACATGTCCAATGCGTGCAGGAGAAGAGGGAGCTTGCGGCTTGGTGAAATTATGAAGCACAAAACGAACAACACCATCTCCTTCATTGGGGGGTGAAACATCCTCACCTCTACCATGACGACACTTAGAACGTACCGTGTGTGTTTTGTAGCAAACTCCACATAAGCAAATCCCCATACGCCTAAAAGTAACTTCTGCCTCAGTATAAACAACCAAATTAGAAGTAAGAGAATGTCGGGTGATATCTCGCACACCGATACAACAATGATGATCACTAAGATGCTTGATTAGAGAACTTCTTGCTAGTCCATTTCCACTCCCATCTTGACAGCCACTAAGACCGAAAAAGGGACAATGAAACTTCACCGACATGGTTACACACATCCACCACCTAAAACCACTCACAAACAGCACTTAAAATTCCCAAAAAAACCAACCAAAAAACTGCTCCCAAAACGCACTTGAAACTGCACCAGAAATAAACTGAAAAATGCACTCGAATAGTACGCAAAACAACACCTAAACTAACCAGAAAATAGCACCCAAAAAGCACGCAAAACATCACCCTAACTGACCAGAAAAATGCACCCAAGAAGCACGCAAAACAGCACCTAAACGAAAACGTTCGAAGCACGTAACAAAACAGCACCAAAACAGACCCAAAACTGAACAAAAGCTGCACCAAAACCACCCCTAAACTGTTGTGAGAGCAGCCTGAATAATCACAAGAAAATCGAGCCTGAAACTGCCTGCAACCTGGCGCAGTTTTTTGCCTGGAAATCGCCGGAAACCCGCCTGAAAAGGTCGTGGAATATGCTTGAAAAATACACCTAAAACTGCCACCAAATTGCACCGAAAGTGGCCCGAAACTGCACCAAAATTACACCCGAAGCCAAGTGCATTATTATTATTATTTATTATTATTATTATTATTATTATTATTGTTATTATTATTATTATCATTATTATTATTATTATCATTATTATTATTATTATTATTATTATTATTATTATTATTATTATTATTATTATTATTATTATTCTTAATATTCTTCTTATTATTCTTCTTATTATTCTTCTTCTTCTTCTTCTTATTATTGTTGTTATTATTATTATTATTATTATTATTATTATTATTATTATTATTATTATTATTGTTCTTATTATTATTATTATTATTATTATTATTATTATTATTGTTGTTATTATTATTGTTCTTATTATTATTATTGTTCTTCTTCTTCTTCTTCTTCTTCTTCTTCTTCTTCTTCTTATTATTATTATTATTATTATTATTATTATTATTATTATTATTATTATTATTATTATTATTATTATTATTATTATTGTTATTATTGTTATTATTGTTATTCTTCTTCTTCTTCTTCTTCTTCTTCTTCTTCTTCTTCTTCTTCTTCTTCTTCTTCTTCTTCTTCTTCTTCTTATTATTATTATTATTATTATTATTATTATTATTATTATTATTATTATTATTATTATTATTATTATTATTATTCTTATTATTATTCTTATTATTATTGTTATTATTATTATTATTATTATTATTATTATCATTATCAACATCGACCCCCAACAATTGCTATGCACCAACGGTAACCCCCTTTTTTTGGATTATACAAAATGACCTTAGTTATCTTTTTTCTCCTAATGATGACATTAATGATGGTGTTTTAACATAAAATTAAACCATGGTTAACCAAAATAGCGAAATGACAAAAATGCCCCCTTTTTATTTTACCCAACCACCCGATTTTAATTCCCTCCATTAAATTTATCTCTATCTCTCCTTCGTTCTCCCTATTCATTACTCTTCATCTTCTTCCTTCTGGGGCCTTTGCCATCAAAATGTTCATCGAGACACAAAAAAAACGCAGAGCATTGAATGCGAATTCTATAATACCATCAAAAATAGACGGTGATAGTCATTTTTCTTCTGCGGTAAAGTAAAGGGGGATTCAAACTTTTTTGATTTCAAAAATTGCGACTAGGGTATTCAAGTTTGGCTGAGAATCGGGGGTACCCGGTGAAAGATCGAATCTTTCTGCATCATCTTGCCAAAAAGAAGTTCAGGTATGCATCCAAAACCCTAATTTTTATATAATGTTTGAGTTGTGCATGTTATGTACTCTGTTTTGGCATGATCGTTTTGTTGCATGTTTTATGTGGTTGTATTGAAGTATTATGTCCTAAAATGAAAGTTTTTGTTATCTTGTTTACTGATTTTGTGTTATGGACTTGCTTGTTTGTGTTTGTGCTTGGAATATGGTATGGTGTTAGAATGAGTGATGCGGTGGTGTTGAGGTTTCAGTATAAGGGTGTTGAGGTTGATGTGGTAGTTGAGGATATTGACACAGTCAATATAGTTGACCTAGTGATAGAGTATTGGGATAAGGCCGTTGAGAGTAAGAAACCAATTCCAAAACATGCTAGTTTTGCTTATGTTCACAAAATGAAACATGTGGACTTGATTAATGATCAAGACTTGATGAAAATGTTTACTAACTTAAATGGAAAAGACCTTATACATATATGGGTGGGTGAGGCTAATTCACCAAATGAGTTACTGAAGTCTGCTAGGACTTTGAGGGCAAGTAGGATAGCTGCTGAGTTGAAACAAAGTGTAGGACAGTTGGGTACGACAGAATGTGATCCTGAAAAGGGAATCCCTAGGAGAAGTCTAAGGAATCTAAAGGGTAGTTCAAGTTAATCTGTGATAGATGTTGAAAGACATAAGAAACTAACCCCTAGGAGAAACACTTCATCCAATGTCAGAGAACCTGTAGACTTAGTTCCATACCCTATTCCCGAACCTGTTTAATGAGGGAGATAATGAAGCTAATGATGAAAGTGATGGTGAACCTGTTAATGAGGGAGATAATGAAGCTGATGATGAAAGTGATGGTGAACCTGTTGAAAATCCTATACTTGAAATATATAATGCAGTACCTAGTGATGATACCTGGGCTGATTTGATAAGGGAAATGGAAGAAGAACAAGAATACATGAGTAGGGGGAGAGGAGGAGGGAGGGGGAGAGGAAGAGGGAGGGGGAGACCTATAGAGGTAAGGGGAGAGGTAAGGGTAGAGTTAGGGGGGAAGAAGCACCTGTCAGGCTGACAGGAGGTAGGATATGGTATAGTGGACCTGGAAGAGACTTGAAGGCATGGTATAGGAAGCAACTAGAGAATGCAGTAGAGACTGAGGCTGAGAGGTTGGCTAGGGAGAGGTATGAGAAGAGAGAAGAAGAGGTGAGGAAAGAATTTGGGTTACCACTTATAGAACTAGCCAAACCAGTCCAGGTACTCAGAAGAAGTCCAAGAAAAAGGTTCCAAAGCGAGGGTCAGATAGAAGCTAGGACAGATGTGATTGCACCACCTCTATCTGAGATGAATGTTATCACAAGGCAAGCAACAAGGCCCTCTAGGGAGATAGTGACATCTTCTAAATCTTCCAAGACATCTAGCACATTAAAGAAAAGAATTCTAGGGACTACAGCTAGGAGGAGGGGATTGATTATCAGAACAAGTTCTGATGAAGCATCCGAGCCATCAAACCAACTTACTGTGAGTTTGGGTGGAGATGAAGTTATTCTGAGTGGTGGTGAATTAGATTCTGAAGAAGATGAAGATTAGGAAGATGAAGATCAGGAAGATGATAATGTAGATCAGGGAAATGAAGATGAAGATGATATGGATGAAGATGATGTGGGACCAGTTGTTGACAACTTTGACCCTTGGAAAGACCCTATGTGGGAGACTGACAATGAAGCTGAAGATTACTTTGCAAAATTGTACAAAAATGGTAAGTTGTACAATGACGAGTAGTTTGGCACACTACTAGAAATATGCCGTTTTTCGACGGAATCGTTCCGACGGACGTAAATTTCGTTGGAGAATTCAAAATTTCCGATGGAATTTTGGTATGTCAGAAATATCCGTTGGAAAAGATAAGTTGCGACGGAAAATCCCTCGAAAATATTTCGACGGATTTTTTTTACCTCGGAATTTACTGCTTCCGACGGAATATTCCCTTGGAAAATGTTGCCCGACGGAAATTTCCGTCGGAAGCTTAAATTCCGAGGGAAAATAAATCCCTCGGAACATATTAATTTCCTACGGTTTTTGATTCCGTAGGAAAATTCCGACGGATTTTAAATCCGTCGGAATATTTCGACGAAATTTAACCCTTTTCCGACCGAATTTTATATTAAAAAAAAACCTAAATCCTAAAAAGACATAACCCCCCTATTCTCTCTCCTAGTTCTCTTTCCTCTCCTTTTCTCTCTCCCTGTCCCTCTTCTTCTTCTCTCTCCTCTCTTCTTTCTCTTTCTTTCCCTCTCCTCTTCTTCGCCTTTTCTTCTTCTTCTTTCCCTTTCTCGGCCTTATCACTCCTCATTCCTCCTCCTTCTCTTCTCATCCCTCCTTTTCCCCCCTTTCTCTTTCTTCTCGATCTCCTTATCACTCCTCTTTGCAACAACACCACCACTGCAACAACCATCGACAACACCAACCGCGCAAGAACACCACCACCGTAACAACCTCCGACAACACCAACACCGAAAACAGATCTACATTTAATATTGGTTAGAATTAGATCTAGTTTTATTTTGTTCAAATTTTCAATGTATAACTTTTTTTTTGAAATAATTATATATTTAAATTAAAATATTTGAGATAATTGTATAGTATAATTTCTTTTTTGTTAAATTTCGAAATTTGTGTTGATTTTAGATCTGTTTATTTAATTTTGAATTTCTGGTTTTTTTTTTATGTTTTTTTTTTTTGTCACGGGTTAGGGGTTTTTATGGTGGGTGGTGAGTGTTGATAATTTAGAGTGTCGGAGGAGCGCTCGCTCTTCTGTATCGCGCTCGCGCCAGCTAGGCGCGACCCGCGACAAAATCGCGCATAAACCGCGATGAGTTTCTGGAAATTCTGGAAAAGTTTGGAGGCGCGCCCGCGCCATGGCATGGCGCGACCCGCGCCTAAACCGCGCTAAAATCGCGCTAACTTTCTGGAAATTTGAAGATTTTAGGCAAAGAAGGAGGCGCGCCCGCGCTGCTGTGGTGGCGCACCCGCGCCTCTTCCCTCACGCCCGCGCTTCTTGCCGTTTTGCGGTTTTATTCGACGGGTGATTCTATTTTATATGTAATGAGAACATTACTCTCTCTTCTTCTCCCCAAGAATTTCTCCATTTTTCTCTAAATTTTCTTGCAAACTATTTTGAGAAAAACTTCTTGATTTTAGCCTCCTTTGTGAATTATCCATCGGGTTTTTCGATTCTTTGTGCTAAGAACGGAAAGTGCTGTCAATTGTATCTCAAAGGGAATTTCCGGATTAACCCAAGCACCGTGTGGGGGAAATTAATCCCTTTAGAAAAGTATTCATACGCCTTTGACAGTGTATCAAGATCATAGTCTCAAGGGACGTTGCAATTCTCATGTTCATGTGTGGTTCTTCGGCTTGGAGTTTTAGGCAAGTGTAATTAATCTTCTCACTAGTGTTTTCTTTTGAAATTTCTGTAATTTCATAGATTATTATACTTGATTGGAACACCATTGTTGTGTTTGTTTAATTACATTACGTTGTCTTGTAATTATATCTTTAGGTTTTGTTTCCCACACATTTTATTAAGTATTTCTTGATATTTTAAGTGATTTCTAGTTTGAAATTCACTGTAAACCTAACAGTGACGTGGGTCCGGGTTGGTGGGTTCTGGTGGGTGGGTTCGGGTCTGGTAGGTGAAGATGGTTGGTTAGGGTTAAGGTGGTGGATCTGGTGGGGTAAAGCGGGTTAATGGCGGTGGTGGGTTAAGGGTGTGGTTAGGCGTGGGGGGTTAGGGTTTGGGTTAGAGGGTTTTGGTGGGTTTAGGTGTGGTGGGTTACGGTGGTGGGTTACGATGGTGGGTTAAGGTGGTGGATCTGGTGGGTTAGGGTTAGGTGGGTTAAGGTGGTGGGTTACAGTGGTGGGCCTGGTGGGTGAGGGCGAGGTAGATTTTTTTCTTTTTATTTTTTTTTCCGGCAGTAACTAACGGAAAATCCGTGTGGAAATTTCCGACGGATTTGAGTCCGTCGGAAGTTTGTGACGGACTATTCCATCGGAATATATAATATAACGACGGAAACAGTTCCGTCAGAAATTTGCGACGAAATTCCCAATAAAGTCAAACTTGACTCTGACAACCTTAATTCCGCTGGAAATTCTGTCGGAAAGGATCTTTCCGACGGAAATTCCCTCAGAATATAGCCAAATTCCTACAAAATGTAATGCGACGGTGCCTTCCGACGGAATTCCGTCGGAAACCGGTATTTTCGACGGAATTTTAGGATATTCTGAGGGATTATTTCCGTCGTTGATTAGCTGTTTTCTAGTAGTGGCAAAATTGTCATCACGGCATGGCAATTATTCACAGATAAACAACATTTGAGAGATGTTGTGAGGGATTACTGCATACAAAGTGGGTTTTCTGTAGTTGTGCTCAAGGCATCTAATTTGAGGTGGACAGTTAAATGTTCTGCAAGTAACTGTGAGTGAAGGCTGCATACATCTAGGCTTCCTGATGGTGTCACATGGGCAATCAAGTCCATTCAGAATATGGAGCACACTTGTTCTGGTTTAGAGGTGAAGAATCCTATGGTGTCTACCAAGTGGGCTGCAAGAGTGTTGCTTGAGGATATAAGAGCCAACAATGATATCCCTGCCAAATCATTGAACCAGTTACTCTGGTAAAGATATGGAGTACAAATGTCTGCAAGTACTCTATACAGGATGAGGTCAAAGGCTCAAAGGGACTTAAATGGGGGTCATAAAATCTCATATGCCCAGCTTCCTGACTACTGTGAAATGGTGAGATCAACTAACCCAGGTTCTTCTGCATTCTGTGCTTGGACACCTGAAGATCATATTGACAGGCCTTTGCAGTTCTACAGTATCTTTCTATCATTCAAAGGTTGTATAGATGGGTTGCTAGTTGGCTGTAGGAGCTTCATAGGTGTGGATGGGGCTCACTTAAAGGGGAATTATGGTGGTGTCCTGTTGTCTGCAGTAGCACTGGATGCAAACAATGAGCTATTCCCCTTTGCTTGGACAATTGTATCATTTGAGGACACAGATAATTGGAAGTTCTTTGTATGGCATTTGAAGAACTTGCTGAAAGACAGTGGGAGAGGTGATGAGTGGTTCATTATCTCAGACAGATAGAAGGTATGAAACTTAGCCTCAATTTTCTTTGTTAACTTCCGTGAGCATTTCTTTGTCTTACATCTGTCTTTTTTTTTATAGGGTATAGATGCTGCATTAACTGAGTTGTGGCCAAAGGCTGGAAGAAGATATTGCTGCAAGCATCTGGAAAGAATTGGAAGAAACCATTCCCTGGTCCTTTGATGTTTAGCCTGTTCTGGAGGGCTTGTGGGACCTATTCTGAGTTCACATTCAAGAAAGCCATGCAACAGCTGCAGAAGGTCAATCCAGCTGCTTTGATATGGTTGTCTAAAGTTGGGGACCAATCAACATGGACCAAGCACAAATTCAATGAGGCTGTCAAATGTGATGTAAACAAAAGCAACTTTGTGGAAAGCTTTAATGCCACATTGGGTATGGACAGAGCAAGACCTGTTCTGACTTTGTTAGAAGGTAACATATTCTTTGTTATGTACATGTAATGTGTCTATATTAGTGAATGTATCATTAACATTTGTGGTGATTAATGTTAGGAATTAGGAGAACAACAATGGTCAGGATGTGCACTAGGAAGCAAGCTTCTGCAGACTAGATAGATGATGATATATCTCCAAGAATCTAGGCCAAACTTAAAGTGATAACTCAAGAGTCCAGGTGTTGCAAGGCATACCCTAGTGCTGATGGGTATGAGGTCACTGATGGAAAATCAGTGCTCCCTGTCAGTTTTGCTGAAAAAAGGTGCCTATGTGGGGTATGGCAGATTTATGGAATTCCTTGCAGGCATGGCATGAGAGTAGAGCTGATCAAGTATGGCCCGACCCGATTTTGGGTAGCATTTTTCGGCCCGAAACCGGGCCGGGTTTGGCCCGTTTTTTTTGGGACGGGTTTGGGAATGCGATTTTATGAATTTTTAGTTGATTTTTAGGCCCGGCCCGAAAATGGCCCGAAAAGTCCGCACAGCCCGACCATTTTAGGCGGGTTTGGGCACAAAAAATTTGGCCCAAAACTTGGCCCGGCCCGAAAAACGGGCATGATTTTTTTGCTCCGACTCGGCCCGCCCAATGATCACTTCTACATGAGAGCTATCTTGCATGCAAGGCTTGATCCAAAACAGTTTGTACATGAATGGTACTCTGTGAGAAGGTACAAAGCTGCATATGCTGGTGGAATCAACTCTGTCCCTGACAGTGATCAATGGCCAGACTTTGACATGCCTAAAATTGAACCTCCTGCCATGAAAAGAGGAGTTGGCAGGCCTTGTAGAGAGAGAAGACGGGATGAAGATGAAGAAAGGAAGGGCAAGAGAAGCAAAACAGTTAAGTGCATCAACTGTTAATGCTATGGGCACAACTCAGCAACATGTAAAGGAGGCCCCACTGCAAAACAAGCTGCTGCTGCTTCTGCCTCTACAAAGGGTAAAGGGAAGCAAGTTGTTATTGCTTCTGCTGTTGCAAAGGATAAAGGCACTGCTGCTTCAGCTTCTGCAAAGGCTAAAGGCAAAGGACCCATGTCTTATTCATAGCCTACTCCAAAAATGAGGAAGCTGAGTGGAATTAGGTTCTCAACCCAGCCTTAGTAGATGAATGTGTTGGTTGTAAATAGCATAAGTAAATAGCACTGGAAACTGATTTTTTTGGGTATTTGAATCACTTTATTTTGGGTATTTTGGGGGGGAACAGGGCATCTTATGGAAATAGCACTGGAAACTGCTTTTTTTTTGGGGAATTTTCAGTTTGGATTATGAACAATTACTTAAGTTTTAATCTCCAAGTATTGTTCCTTTATGTTTATATTGTGTCCAGCGATGATTTATTATAGTTCATTGATACAACCGAATAACAGAGCAACAAAACAAAAGAAATTGAATTTGAACAAAGTTCTAATTTTTATTTAATTAGGATGATCAGTACATCATTCAACTACCTAGATTGTTAAGGACTAAGTACAAACATCCCAATTGCTTTTACATGAAACCCTAATTTCAACTAATTTCCCCTAAATTATCAATGTAGGGATTACAAATTCATTCACTTAATTAAAGTACAGAAAAACCAAATTAAAAACATCCCAATTGCAATCTTCATCATCTTTTTGCCAAAGCCATCGAAATAACCTTCATCATTGACCTCATCAACAATCCTCACAATATTTTCTTTAGGAACCCATGCAAAAAAGTGACAGCTACTGCATTTATTGTAGGGCCTGTCTGGATTGGAGCGTGTGTCAGAAAAACACACATCTAGAATTCGCCTGAATGAACAATTGCAGTAGCAAAGCTTGATTGCTCGAGCTCTTCCCATGGTGGCTGCGAAAAACTGGATGACGAAGAAGACAACAATGGAGGAAGTTGGGGGAATTAAGGGAGAAAAGGTTTTTTTTATAACCATTGTCTGACTTTTGGGGGGAAAATGTTAACCATGGTTAACTTTATTTATGATATTTATGTTAAAACACCATCATTAATGTCATCATTAGGAGAAAAAAGATAATTAGGGTCATTTTGTATAATCCAAAAAAAGGGGGTTATCGTTGGTGCGTAGCAATTGTTGGGGGTCGCCGTTGAGGAATTTCCCATTATTCACCACAACCAATAATATGAGTTCGTGGATTTAAATGGTTTGAGTTCGTGGGTTTCGCGTGGTGGATTTTGATTCCAGATCTGGGTTTCGTGGATTTGGTGGTGGGTTTCGGTGGTTTGGTGGTGGGTTTCGTGGGTTTGATGGTGGGTTTCGGTGGTTTGGTGGTGGGTTTTGTGGGTTCGATGGTGGGTTTCGTGGGTTTTGGTGGTGGGTTCGTGGGGGTTGCGTAAGTGGGGTTGGGTGTTGGTGGTTCGTGGGGTGGCGGTTTCGGTGGTTTGGTTTGTGGGGTGGTGGGTTTTGGTGGTGGTTTCATAGGGGTTGCGTAAGTGGGGTTGGGTGTTGGTGGTTTGTGGGGTGGCGCGGTGGTTTTGCGTCCGTAAGTGGTGGTTGTTCTCCAATGTTTAATTGTGTGTTTTATTTTAATTTGGTTTAATTATCCCTTCTCTCTCCACTAACTTTTCAATAATCTTGCTTAACAAGTTTTGCTTAGGAGTCCGCAAAATTGTCCTTTGGTGCAGATAACTAAAGGCGGAGAGAGTATTATACATTTTTACACGATGATCAATATTTCGATGATTTCTTATCCTTCATCCTTGTTACTCAAATCTTAAAACCCAGAATACTTTTTGAAAAATTAGGGTATAACATGTAATACGAAGTATATGATAAATCTTAAATTCAAACCTAATTTTATTTTTAAAATCATATAGGATTTGATCTTCTACTGCATGGCTAAAGTGGATACAATTATGAGTGAAAATAGTTGGTATTATATCTCATGCCCAGCATGTGAAAGACGTATCACTCCAAGAAAAATAAATTTTTGGTGCATTCCTTGTGAGAAACAAATTGAAAGGCCCATCCCAAGATTTGTTTCAAATTTCTTCTTTATCCATATTACAATAATAGATTAAACAAATAATAAATTATATAATGCCTAATTTCTTCGTGCATTATTCTTTTTTCTCAATCAGATATCGATTGGAGCTTAGTGTTATCGATCATAATGGGTCAGCAATATTTGTAGTTTTTGATGAAGAAGCTAAAAAACTAATAGGACAAGATGCAACTACTCTTTTTGAGGCTCATACTTATGAAAAAGTTTTAATAATAGCTTTTTAACAATAGTTACAAGATTAAATTGTTCTACAAATGCTTTTATCACTTATTTCAATTAAAATTTACAGATCAATGATCATAATGATGATGATATAACAATGAAGATGATGATACACAAATTCCAAAGATGATTGCAAATATCATTGGAAGTGAGTTAGTATTCAAAGTTAAAATCACCGCTTATAATCGTACAACAATTTGACAAACTTTTACGGTGATGAGAATTTTTGACAAAAGTGTCATTGAGGTACTAAATAATTGTTACAAGTATTTAATGTTTATTTAGAAGTCATGAATTTAAAATCTTAATTTCTTAAAACTTTACATAAATAATTTTGATGTAGAATAAAGATGTCATAAAAGATAATAAAGATACTTCAAAAGATGAAATTACAGTCATTGAAGAAACCGCAAGACGCCCTTTTAATAGTTCGATTCGACGGAAAAGGATCATGATTCATCCGACCAAATCACATCAAAGAAGATAAAGGTATATATATTTTTAGAATATATATAATTCATTTAGATATTTCTTACTATTTCTAATTTTATCTTATAGATTATTTAATAGTATACTAATATTAACACTTTAATTTGTATACTTTGTGTATGATGCAGGTTTAGTTTTATGAATCAAGGATTCTTTCAAAACATAATAAAACAACACGTTCAAGAAATAGAAATTTAGATGATAGTAACAAATAATACTTATGTTAGCTTTTTAATTTTTTTTATTATGTAACAACTTTCGAGATTATTCTAGATGATAGTTTTTCTTTTATATATGTTTATCATATACTTAATACTTTTGTTTACCTTTATTTTTGAATTGTTATATCAATTTTAATAGTTTACCAATTATTATTATTATTATATAATAAGATACAAATCTTAGATAATGATAAAAACAAAGCCCCACCAATGGGTGACTAATCTCCCAAGCTTCCGAATCATAACTCAAAGGAGGGAAGAGAATGAAGGCCCGATGTATGTTAAAGATTTGTGGGAAAATCAGGAATGGAATAGATCCATGCTCGTGGAATTGTTCTCACAGAGAGAAGTTGAAGCAATCTGCAGTATTCCAGTTCCAATGTTTGATGAGAAAGGCTCGTGGGCATGGTTTTACTCGAAGGATGGTATGTACAGCGTCAAAAGTGCCTACAACATTTTGGTTGAGGAAGAAATAAGGGAAAGAGCAAACTCATCAGGTGGAAATGTGGAGTTTAACTGGAAGAGTATTTGGCATGCTTGCATCCCACCTAAGATCAAACTATTTGCGTGGAGATGTGTGAGAGAGGGGTTGCCTGTGATGAAGCGTCTGGCGGATAGGGGATTGAGTGTTGATCAACAATGCCCTATGTGTGGCGAGGATGAGGAGACCATAGCTCACTCGCTTCTTTTCTGCCCAGCTGCCTCAGATATTTGGAGACATTCGGTTTTACGACTAGAACCGAGTAATATTGATGCTCATGGGTTTCTGGATTGGTGTAATCAGGTGGAGGGGAAGATAAAGGAGAAGCAGTGGTGGGATATATTTTGGTGCCTTGCTTGGGGAATATGGCTAAAACGTAATGCTTGGGTGTTTGAAAAATCTGAGAAGCCAGAAGCAGCCATACTTCATAAAGCCCTGTGCTTAGTGGGTGAATTTGAAGTAGCCAACACCCTTGCCGATAAAATACAGACTGAGCAGCCTCTTTGCTCAAGGTGGAAGGCCCCCCCTTCTGGAATGCTAAAATTAAATTCAGATGCAGCTTTTCAGGGGAGGCGGTTGGGAATAGGAGGGATATTGAGGGATGAGGAGGGGGAGGCGGTGGTGACTTACTGCTCGACTATAGAGGGGATTGTTGATGTGGCTGTTGGTGAGGCAATGGCTATGCGTTCAAGCCTCAAGATC